ACGCCAGCCTGGCCAACATGGCAAAACTCTGTCTCTACTGAAAACACATAATTAGCCAGGCATGGTGGCGCATGCCTCTAATCCCAGCTACTCGGGAGGCTGAGGCAACAGAACTGCCTGAGCCCGGAAGCGGGAGGTTGCAGTGAGCCAAGATTGCGCCACTGCACTCCAGCCAGGGTTACAGAGGGAGGAGGAGGAGGAGAAGAAGGTGGTGGAGGAGGAGGAGGAGGAGGAGGAAGAGGAGGAGATCAACTTTCCAGGAGTTACCTAATTTAATCTCACAGGCATTACATTTAGAAAACTTTAAGTGGCAAACATCAGACTCTAGAACTTAAGAAAAAGGGAGTAAAACTGAAGTTCCTTAATGCAAATACTTCCCACAAGAAGTCAGGACATTAGGATTTTTTTCTCAGATTAAATTTGTGTCGAGGCATCTAAATGTCAAAATGGTAGAAGAAAATGGAAAGATCTGTAATTTGGCATACAAAACATACTGATTGAGAAAGTGACTCAAATGAAATAAAATGAAGAGGAGCATTTTATCAGAGAGGAGCTGACCATGGCAAAAGCTATGTATACAAACAACTTCACCATGGAGAGACGGAATACACAGAATGCATGATCTATCATTCCCAAATGATTAAATGATTTACTACTACTTTCCAAAAAATCTCGAGAGTCATAACCGGGGATACTTTCACCACACCGTGTCTGGCCTTGAATTCTTCCCAGCTTGTCCCTCAAGAGCCCAAGAAATTTCTAGAAAATTGATACAACAGATAATAGACTCCTTGCACAGCTGAACTTACTGGGAAAAAAAATTAAAAACAAGAAATGGGAAAATATTTCATTTTTGGAGAAATATGATACTGGATTAAACTTGAAGAATTCAAAGAGCTTAAAACACACACACATATGCATCCATACACACATACACACACACATGTGCACATGTGGCTATCCACTGTTGGCTAAAAGTTAAAACCTCTAGGACTGGTATTCTGGACACTGACATCTCACATGTACCCTGGACTGAGTGAGTTCAGTCAGGGACCCTGGCATCATGCTCATTACCAAAGAGTTAGGAGACAAGTGAATATATGCATTCTCCAGGGGAAAAATTCTAGGTTAGTCCAAAGAACAATTACAGATGATAAAGCATTTCCTACATTTTCATTGTTCCTATATAGAGAAAGGCACTCAACAGAATTCTATATATTTGTGAAGAAAATTCTTTTTCCTGAATGTACATGTTTTATCTGAAATGTATTTTTCTACCTAGAAGATACAGCAGTGAACTCCCAACATTTATTAATTAGTCTGCATTCACTACATATCAATGGATACAGTGATAACTAACATTTCCTTCAGTCAACAGAGAGTTGGTATTTCATTCTAAGTGCCAGGAACTGTGTCATGTGCCAGTAATACAGGGAAAATTCAGACTGGATCCCAGTCCTCAGAATACTCACGGTTTGGCAGGCTACACATACACTTTCATTAGCTAGCAAGTGTTAAAGGGCACTCACGTCTATCAAGATGTAAAACCCCTGAAAGTGGTAGATTTCTCAGTAAAAATAAAATATTTCTTCTCTACAGACAGTATGAGAAGAGCAAAAAGATAAAAGAGATTCCAATGGAACTGATCCTTCTTCTTCAAACACTTAATTCCAAAGAAATATATATGCATTTATCACACAACTGACTCCATGAAGTCAATGTTCCCATGAAGGGAACGTTCCAAATGAAAAGGAACACCTAGCCCCATTCCTTCCCACTTAGTAACAATATGCCTGCAATGCAGTCAGGTAACCCATTTCACGTCATATAAAATAAAATGTTTTAAAAAGAGTCAATTTTCTCAAACTAGAAATCACTTAAATCTCTTTCTGATAAGGCATCTTTTCATAACTTTTTAAATAATCAAATTTCTCACCTTCTGAAAATCAAGATAGCATTAATGATTATTATAACTAAAATGACAAATGAAGGCCAGGGAACAAAGCAAGATCCTATCTTTAGAAAAAAATAAAAATAATAAAATTAGCCAGGCATGGTGGCTCATGCCTGTAGTCCCAGCTACTCAGGAAGGCGAAGTGGGAGTATCTCTTGAGCCTGGGAGCTCAAGGCTGCAGTGAGCCGTGATTGTGCCACTGCACTCTAGCCTGGCCAACAGAGTGAGACTTTGTCTCAAAAAAAAGACAAATGACAGAAGTAAGTTCTAAAGTAAACTGCAATGGCTGATATGATGGAACTGAATCCCCAACTGAAAATTTAACAAAGTTAAACATGCCATATGAAAATCTTTTAAATTTATTAGCCAGGATAGGAAAAGTAAGAAAATTACATTTGTTGCACATCTAAATCTAAGTCAAGCTTTTACAACAACTTTCCAAGAGTTACCTAATTTAATCTCACAAACAGTGCTCTGATTCCTGAGTTATAGAGGAGCCTGTTGCCCAGGCCAGAGTATAAGGGCATGATCTCAGCTCACGGCAGCCTCCACCTCCCGGGTTCAAGCAATTCTCCTGCCTCAGCCTCCCAAGTAGCTGGGATTATGGGCATGTGCCACCACACCTGGCTAATTTTGTATTTTTAGGAGATGGGGTTTCGCCATGTTGGCCAAGCTGGTCTTGAACTCCTGACCTCAAATGATCTACCCACCTCAGCCTCCCAAAGTGCTGGGATTTCAGGCATGAGCCAACACGCCTGGCCTGCCTCATTTATTTAATCAGAACAAACATGCCTGCCCACTCCATAAAAGAGTTGGGAGAATCAAGTGTTGTCTGTGCATGTACAAGTGTGCTTTGGAAAACCGTAGAGCACCATGTATAGTGTTACTGGTTCTGTAACTTTTTAAAGGGGAAGAAATATATAAAAGTTGCAAATGAGGAAGCAAATTATGCCTTGTAAAAGGAAGAACTCTACCAATTCACCTGTTCAAACTTCCTTGTGAAGGGCTGGGCTGCCTACCTCTTAAAGGACTCAAGCAAAAGCCCTATTACTACTTGTCTGAGATTCTGGCTGGGTAGAGAGAAGTTGGATTAGATGATATTAATGTCCATTCTACTTCTAACATTTTCCAAGGCCAAAAACAGATTGAACAGAATCTTTCCCACAGGGAAGGAATACCTTTTTCCCTTTAGTACCTTTATCCTGACTTTAAAAATGTTTTGGGGCCGGGCACGGTGGCTCACACCTGTAATCCCAACATTTTGGGAAGCCGAGGTGGGCGAATTGCTTGAGGTCAGAAGTTCAAGACCAGCCTGGCCAACATGGTGAAATCCTGTCTCTACTAAAAATACAAAAATTAGCTGGGTGTGGTGGCGTGTGCCTGTAGTCCCAGCTACTCGGGAGGCTGAGGCAGGAGAATTGCTTGAACCGGGGAGGTGGAAGTTGTAGTGAGCCGAGATCACACCACTGCACTCCAGACTGGGTGACAGAGCAAGGCTCCATCGCAAAAATAAATAAACAAATAAACAATAATAAATAAAAATGTTTTGGATTATTCAGAAATGCAAAAAACCTATGGTTCAAAAGAGAAAGAACTTTGATCACCTGCAGACGTAAAAGTTCAGGTAATCATCTTCTCATTTCACCTCTTCAGTCTTTCTTACCCCAGTGGTTTACTTACCTCTGGGCAGTGGTTCATCTCTTAGATATGCTTGAATCAGTAGTCTTCAAGCCTTTTTTTTTTTTTTTTTTTAAGAGACAGGGTCTCACTCTGTCACCCAGGCTGAAGTGCAGTGGTTCAATCATAACTCATTGTAGCCTAGATCTCCTAGGCTCAAGTGGTCCTCTCACCTTAGCCTTCTGAGTAGCTGAGATTACAAGTGCGAGTAACCGTGCCCAGCAACCCCAAACATTTTTGTGATAGACCCCATAAAAAAAGAGCATTATCTCAATGTGTGTCTATTTCCACATTTATAGATTATGCATGTGTGCTATTCTGTGAATATATTTTAGGTATTACATATACAATAAAACATAAAAGGAGACAATAAAGATGACATTTTCTTCCAGTACAGCACTGTGTGTCTTAATCTCTACTTTGTAAACCTGATAGATCAGTCACTTCTTCCTCCCATGAGCGGTGAAGTCCTCTTGATTCCACCTTTCATATCTCCTTCATATCTCTCAAGGTTAAGATGAAACTGAGGCCTTCAGCATGCTACTAAAGAGTACAAGGAGACCTTTAAACTGGCCTCCCTCCACTCAGTGTTTTCCAGTCTATCTTTCATGCTCACGTTTGACCTTATCACTTTCAATAGCTCCCTGCTGTACACAAAATCTAACTGTTTGGCCGGGCACATGGCTCACACCTGTAATCCCAGCACTTTGGGAGGCCGAGGCGGGTGGATCACGAGGTCAGGAGATCGAGACCACCCTGGCTAACACAGTGAAACCCCATCTCTACTAAAAATACAAAAAATTAGCTGGGCGTGGTGGCAGGCACCTGTAGTCCCAGCTACTCAGGAGGCTAAGGCAGGAGAACCACTTGAACCCTGCAAGCTGAGGCTGTAGTGAGCTGAGATCGCACCACTGCACTCCAGCCTGGGCAACAGGGTGAGACTCCATCTCAAAAAATAAAAAAAATACAATAAAATCTAACTGTTTATATGGCATTCAGCCAAGGCTTATATAACATAATAGATGTCATTTTACTGGCTATGTCATCGCTGGTAAATTCAACTTTCTCCATTTTCTTTTCTTGTTTTTTTGCGATGGATTTTCGCTCTTGATGCCCAGGCTGGAGTGCAATGGCTCAATCTCAGCTCACTGCAACTTCTGCCTCCTGAGTTCAAGCAATTCTCCTGCCTCAGCCTCCTAACTAGCTAGGATTACAGGCATGCACCACCACACCCAGCTAATTTTTTTGTATTTTTAATAGAGATGAGGTTTCACCACGTCAGTCAGACTGGTCTTGAGCTCCTGACCGCAGGTGATCCACCCGCCTTGGCCTCCCAAAGTGCTGGGATTACAGGTGTGATCCACCGCACCCGGCCAACTTTCCCCAGTTTTCTAATCTAGAAAATGGGGTAATGGGGTTAGCAGTGTGTACCTCACATATTTCTTGTGAGATTTAAGCAAAATGTAAAATTCACTTACACTGCCTGGCATAAACTGTATGCCCAATAGCTATTAGCTATTATTAGCATTACCTGTTATTCTCATCTCTTACTACTCTGCTCAAGGCACTTAAAACACTAAGCTCATGATTGTTAAGAAGGAAACATGTTAGAATCATTTGAGGAGCCTTTCCTCTACCTGGAATGCCCCTCCTTTCCTAGAGAACTCCTCATCCATCAAGGTCTAGCCCAGATGTCTCTCTCATGAGTTTGTATTGTACTCTCCCAGGCAGAATGAATTTCTTCCTCCACAATATTCCCATAAGCTAAGATATCTCTAACAGACTCTACGGCAAATCTTTGTTTACTTTTCCACCTTAAAACCAGGATACAAACCACAAAAAGACACAGACTGTGTTTCACTATTCATTCAACAAACACTGCCTGACTGACTACTATAAGACAAAAAAGGGTCCCAATAAAAAAACAAATCCCTGTCCTTGATAAATCTATAAAGATATTCAATAGCTGTTTGTTGAATGAGTGAACTTATGATACTTAATTCCAGCATGACTGTAAATGAATGTAAACCAGTGACCCAGAATCAAATACTTCAATTATCTTAACAATATAATGGAGTCACAGTACATTTAATCTATTGGAGTTGAACCACGTGTCTATGTTTACTTGGAAGGGAAGAAAGGAGAAAGGACAAAATCCTATTTTCCCTAACATCTTTTCCCTCTTTCAACTAGACTGTGGCCACAGGCAAGTGTGGGGTCGTAGCCCATAAGCAAAGAGAAATTTACATCAATTTCTGGCTTCAGAGCTTTCATGGATGCACTTCTTGGTGACTTGGGGATTTTCAAGGGTAATTTTACAAAATGTTTTCTCCTTATTGTCTGACTTGAGATCCTACCCCTCACGTAAGTTGTAGTTGCCATATAACTAATGTTAAAGCAATTTCATAAATTGCCAGTAGACTAGGGTACAAAAACAATCAAACAGGTGCTCTCATGAAACATAACGAAATGTTCCATTTAAAGAAAAACTCCCGGTTAGACAAGAGCTGTACAAGACGAGGGTCTCGGTCGCTATTTCTTGTTTTCATCATATAGACAGAACAGCCCTGCTGCAAAGATGGTCAATGTACCTAACCCCGAAGAACCTTCTGTAAGAAGTGTGGCAAGCATCAGCCTCACAAAGTGACACACTATAAGAAGGGCAAGGATTCCTTGTATGCCCAGGGAAAGAGGCGCGATGATCAGAATCAGAGTGGCTATGGTGGGCAGACAAAGCCAATTTTCTGGAAGGCTAAGACCACAAAGAAGATTGTGCTAATTAGGCTGGACTGTGTTGAGCCTAACTGCAGATCCAAGAGGATGCTGGCCATTAAGAGATGCAAGCATTTTGAATTAGGAGGAGATAAGATGAGAAAGGACCAAGTGATCCAGTTCTAAACTTTGGAATATTTTTCTTTTAATTTTGAAGAGAAAATGTTGAAGCCATAGAAAAATTACCTGTAGGAAAATAAATACAGTGATATTCTTACACCAAAAAAAAAAAAGAAAAGAAAAGAAAAACTCCCAACCTCACGCTAACTTGCATGAGCCATAACCTACAAAAAACCTGTACTTCAGTTGTTCTAGAGTCAGGTGTCAAATGTGATGACTGTCCTAAGAGCTGGTGGTAATTGTAGAAAACTGAAATGCACTAGCGAAGCCCTAAGAAGGGTTACATTGCCCTGTGTTCTTTTTCCTTAGTTCAAAAGCACATGCAGATTTGCAGGGAAATTGAACCATTAATCCTTAAGGGCTCATCAGGCTCCCACTTTAGATTTCAATTTACCCAGGTGTGGCATGAAAAGGCGCTTTACAATTTGGGAAGGGAACAAAATATGAAAATGAAGGAAAAATGGCAAAGCAAAAAGCAAGGAGCTACACACATTTTCTAGAATCTTAGTTTAAATAGCCATGATCTGATGTCCATTGAGAGCAATTGTAAGAAAGGTAAAAGATCTTTGGGAAATTGGGAGGAAAATTAGCATTTAAATTGGCTAACTTAAGAAAGTTACAAAATCGCTGGCTTTTTACAGCAGTAGTTCCCGAAGTGTGGTCGTTGACCTACAGTATCAGTCTCACCTGGTAACTTGTTACAAATGCAAATTTGGGGGCTTGAGGTGGGGCCTGTGTCAAGTGGTTCTACCAGAATTCCTAGCACCACTCAAAGAGGACCAACAACAAAGGGTGAACACTTAAATAAAATCAAGAGAAGAGATAGAAGCTCAAGAGATACAACTTCTTTCCCAAGAAAATCAAGCTGGAAGGCAGGGAGAGGTGGCTCACTCCTATAATCCCTAATCTCAGCACTTTGGGAGGCTGATGCAGGTGGATTGCTTGAGCTCAGGAGTTCAAGACAAGCCTGACCAACATGGAAAACCTCCATCTCTACTAAAAATACAAAAATTAGTTGGGCATGGTGACGCACGCCTGTAGTCCCAGCTACTCAGGAGGTTGAGGCAGGAGAATCATTTGAACCCCAGAAGCGGAGGTTGCAGTGAGAGAGGAGATCGCACCATTGCACTCCAGCCTGGGAGACAGAGCAAGACTCTTTCTCAAAAAAAAAAAAAAAAAAGATAGGGAGAAACCTCTTCATTTGGAAACTAGCAAAGCCTTGTATTGGAAGTAACAAGGAGCTGAGGCAGTGATTCTTATAATCCCTAGGAACAGGGCACAGGATTTTAGCAAGAGTATTCATTCCAATTTAGGATTTTAAAAAATATTTCTCCCCAAACTGCCTTTTCTTTTTTTTTCTTTTTAGATGTATTTCTTCTCTACAGGCAAGTTCTACTCAAACCGCTTTTTCTAATGCCTATAAAGAGGCAGCTCCATCACGAGTTTCCTCATCAAATAATCCATTGAGGTAATAATAAAACAACAATTTTCTGTTAGCACATAATTGTTGAACAACAATAACAAAAAGATACAGACTTTTATCTGAACTTATAAACCTTATTAGGTCAAAGATGGCAATCATTCTTCCTAGTTTTTTGGAAGTTTAAATGGAATGAATGGCATGCCATGTAAGCATTTAACCTTTTTTAAGGTGGCATCCTGATGTAGCGCTGCAGGATGGTTGCAGCACCGGTTTGGACCCTGGTGGCGCCACCATTTACCAGCTATGTGATCTTGGGAAAAAGACCTCAAGTTTCTAAGTTTTGAGTTTCTTTCTCCCTATCTGTAATGTGACACCAATATGACCTCCCTTAAAAAAGAACATACTGTGAATGCAAGCCGCTGTTACTAAGACATTAACCATAACCCCAGGCAACAGTCATATTGTATCGACTAGGTTGATCCAAAAGTAATCTCGGTTTTTGCCATTACTTTTGCACCAACCTAATAGTAAACTTTCATACAGGATTTCAGGCATTTTGGATTCGATTACAAGTATCAGTATAAACCCAAGCTTTCTTCTGAGTCACCATTAAGGAGACAATCAAATTATAACGACTTTAATGGCATAGTGAATAAGGTCAGAAAGTGGTCTGACCTTTTAGAACTACTGATACCATTTAAAAGTTAAGGAGACACTTGCAGATCTTATGATGAGAGTGGTCTCCTTATAAAAATATTACCTCTCCCCCTATTAAAATAGTACTCCCCCACTGCACATAGAAAATAGAATTCAGGCCAGGCGCAGTGGCTCATGGCTGTACTCCTAGCACTTTTGGAGGCCAAGGCTGGCATATCGCTTGAGACAAGGAGTTCAAGGCCAGCCTGGGAAACATAGCAAAACCCCATCCATCTCTACAAAAAAATTAGCCAGGTTTGCTGGTGTGCTCAGCTACTTGGGAGGCTGAGGTGGGAGGCTCACCTGAGCCCAAGAAGTCAAGGCTGCAGTGAGCTGAGATTATGCCACTGAACTCTAGCCTGGGCAACAGAGCAAAAGCCTGTAAAAATAGATAGACAGCCACGCACGGTGGTTCACATCTGTAAGCCCAACACTTTGGGAGGCTGAGGCAGGCAGATCACCTCAAGTCAGGAGTTTGACATCAGGCTGGCCAACCTGGTGAGACCCCGTCTCTACTAAAAATACAAAAAATTAGCTGGGTGTGGTGGTGAATGCCTGTAATCCCATCTACTTGGGAGGCTGAGGCAGGAGAATCACTTGAAACCGGGAGGCAGAGGTGGCAGTGAGCCGAGATTGTGCCAGTGCACTCCAGCCTGAGCAACAGAGTGAAACTCCATCTCAAAAAATAAAAAATATGTATATATGAAAATAGAATTTATTAGCCCTTTAGATTCTCTTAATGATGATGTAAGAAATTGTAATAAAATGCCTCTTTGTAGCCAAATGTTATAGGAAGCCTACCAACACAACACTTTTTAACATTGGGTAAAGAATAGCTTCTGGTGATAAACAGCTCCCTGCTTTTCTAAAGCACCATTAACATCCGCATTTTTTTAGTGTTTGCTTTGCAACATTTTAATCTGTTACGTAATTTCAACTTCTTTGGAGATGAGTGAGTTTTAAATTATTTTTATTTAAATGTCACTAATTAAGACCATAGTTTCTGGTAGTAGTAAATAATATTATTATGGCAACTCATTGTTATTGAGCCCTTACTACATGCCAAAAAAAAGTGTTAAGCTCTTTGAAGGTATTATCTCATTTAATCATTAAGCCTCACAATAATCTTATAAGATAGATTCATCTTATAAGACTGATTCATCACATCCATTTTTCACATTAAAAAGTTGAGGTTCCAGAGTAGCCATAATTTGAATTGGCTTTATCCAAGGTCTCAACCTCTACACTGTGTTGACTCTTTAAATGAAGTTCAATCACTGAAACTGACACAGATAAAAGAACAGAGGCGGCTATTGGTAAAGGCCACCACTATTCCATTTGAAAGACAATCTTGTTTCTAAATCAAAAAAGAAAAACAAGTAATATCAATAACTTTTTTTTTTTTTTTTTTTTTTGAGACGGATCCTCCGCTCTTCGCAAGCGAGGCAGTGGGGCAACGCTCCACCACTGCAAGCTCCGCCTCCCGGTTCCACGCCATTCTCCTGCCTCAGCCTCCCGTGTAGCTGGAGACCACAGGCATCCGCCACCACGACCGGCTAATTTGGTATTTTAGTAGAGACGTTTCACCTGGTTCCCAGGATGGTCTTGATCCCCTATCTCGTGATCCACCCTCTCGGCTCCAAAGTGCTGGGATTACAGGCGTGACCACCGAACCCGCCCAATATCAATAACTCTAAAAGGGATAAGCCCCTCTTTATACGTTATATGGCATGGTGCAGACAGCACTACTCCGATGAAGGCCAGCAAACGTTGCATTTCTCAGTCCACAATGAATAGGGAGCTTAGGCTAGACTCCTAAAGCATTCAACCACTGTTTAGTTTAGTAGGAAGATTTCTGAATAAAGAAAGCAGTGTGAGGCCAGGCGTGGTGCTCCCGCTTGTAATCCTGGAACTTGTTAAGGCCAAGGTTAAGAGCATTGCTTAAGTCCAGGAGTTCGAGACCACCCTGGGCAACATGGCGAAATACAAAAATGAGTGGCTATGTGCCACTGCACTCAGCCTGGGTGACAGAGTGAAGCCCTGTCTCAAAAAAAAAAAAGCAAAGAAAGAAAGAAATGTCATGATTTACCTTATCTCCTCATAGACTGGTAACAAACACGTTGCTGACCAGCACTGGTCTATGAACTACGACTGAGTAGCACTGGTATAGATGATACATTGTTGAGAAAAAAAAAAAAAAAGGCTATATTAACTATCCTGCAAATTATCCCATTTGTTCAATAAGTAAATAAACAGATTAACTATATAAATATAAATAAGTACAAATGATGCCATTGGAAGGATGTATTCAGTTGGTGCAAATGTACTCATGGATTTTGCATTGCTGAAATTTGCTGTCTGATATTAGAATACATTCTTACATAATTGTTGTTATGTTATACATCATTTTAATGCATATTTCTCACTTTATGTTTTCTTGCTAATAACTTATTACTTGCTGTTTATTTTATATTTATTTTAGACAATGGAAATGATGTTAGACAAAAAGCAGATTCAAGTGATATTCAAGTTAAAAATGGGTCATAAAGCAGTGGAGACAACTCACAATATCAACAACACATTTGGCCCAGGAACTGCTTATGAACATACAGTGCAGTGGTGGTTCAAGAAGTTTTGCGAAGGAGATGAGAGGCTTGAAGATGAGGAGTTTAGTGACCGGCCAATGGAAGTTGACAATGACCAGTTGAGAGCAACCATCAAAGCTGATCCTCTTACAACTACACAAAAAGTTGCCAAAGAACAACATCGACCATTCTACGGTCACTCAGCATTTGAAGCACACTGGAAAGGTGAAAAAGCTTGATAAGTGGGTGCCTCATGAGCTGAGCAAAAATAAAAAAAAAACTCATTTTGAAGTGTTGTTTTCTCTCATTGTGTGAAACAGTAACGAACCATTTCTCAATCAGATTGTGACATGTGGTATAAAAAGTAGATTTTATACCACAACCAACAACGATGAGCTGAGTGGCTGGACTGGGAGAAGCTCCAAAGCAATTCCTAAAACCAAACTTGCACCAGAAAAAAGGTCATGGTTATCGTTTGGTGGTCTGCTGCCGGTCTGATCCACTATAGCTTTCCGAATCCCAGGAACACCATTACATCTGAGAAGTATGCTCAGCAAATGGATGAGATGCACCGAAAACTGCAACACCTGCAGCCAGCATTGGTCAATAGGAAAGGCCCAATTCTTCTCCATGACAATGGCCAAAGGAACTTCGCACGACCAACGCTTCAACAGTTGAAGGGATTGGGTTACAAAGTTTTGCCTTATCCACCATATTCACCTGATCTCTCGCCAATTGACTGCCACTTCTTCAAGCATCTCAATGATTTTTTGCAGGGGAAACACTTCCACAACCAGCAGAATGCAGCAAATGCTTTTCAAGAATTTGTTGAATCATGAAGCAC